TACGACCTGAACGGGAAGAAGGTGCTCTCTCTGTGTGGAGATGAGACACCCGACATCGCTGTCAACATAATAGGCTATGGTAACTACATAAACGGGGATGGAGTGAAGAAGTCCTACTGGTTGCTACGTAACAGCTGGGGAAAGCACTGGGGAGACAAGGGCAACTTTAAGGTGGACATGCATGGACCGGATCATTGCCACCACAACTTCATTCACACCGCTGCCGTCTTCAACCTAGACGTGTCCCCCTTCCAGTCACCCGCGAAGGAGGCCAAATTGTATAACTATTATTTGAAGAGCTCCCCCGATTTTTACAAGAATCTCTATTATAACGCATTGGGTGAACAAAAGGGCAAAGCGCCGAGTCACGCCGTTCAGGGGCAGGACGCTACTCAGGTAACACCGGCGCCCGTAGGAGGAGGAGATTCTGTATCGGCAGCTCAAGGAGGACAGCAACCTCAGTCACAAGTACCACCCGTAGCGAACACAGGTCTGAATGGATCATCGGAGCAAGTACCAGCACAACAACAACAAGTGGATGTAGCAGGTCAACCGTTACCAGCGCAACAAGCAGCACCGGGAGAGGATTCCACTACACCCGCTGCAGACTCAACAGAGGAGACGGAATCAAGTGCAGAAGAGGAAAATCCGAAAATGTCCCAAATTGTTCACGTTTTGAAACACATTAAGCAGACCAAAATGGTGACAAGAATAGTCACCTACGAGGGGGACTACGAATTCGGAGACCACACCTGTTCACGAACCGAAGCAACAACCTTGGACAAGCTGGACGAGTGCATACGTTTTTGCAATGAAAATTTGTCCATGTGCGAGAGAACGGTTTCACCAGGGTATTGTTTAACCAAGCTGCGAAAAGCGAACGATTGCATTTTCTGTGCCGTGTGAAGCGGTACCGAGTCGCTTGATGAACATGCATGTGCTGATGCATCGGCGGATGCACGAGAGTGTGCACATATGCGTGCGTATTAACACCACCCGTCTTGTATCCATAAGGAGTGATCACCTTTGTGTCATCGAAGCGGCACATTTTTATGAAACTTTTCTTCATTGCCACGTGAGGCATTTTTCATGAAAGTTAAAAAAAATTTTTCTTTCTTTTTTTTTTTATTTCACCTTTTGCGCAAAAACTTTACGGTTGTGTTTTACTTTGCTTCGAACGTAGAGCCATTCTGAGTTGAACGGAAAGGGGTTTACGCGAATATGTGCAGGGCTATGGCAAGGGTATTGCACATATTAGTGTATGCATGTAGATGGTGTTTAGGCGTTGTTGCCATGCCCCTTTAAAAGGTATTCCCCATATAAAGTTATTCCCAGTATAGAGGTATTCCCCGTATGTGTGTGAACCCTTTTCACGCACTTGCTCCTCACACTGAAGAGGGGGCGTCATTTTGGAGGTGATATTTTGAAAGTGACCTTTTTAGGACTAAGTCTTCCTGGCCAAATCCCTTTTCTTGCTTAAAGCTTGTGCGAAGTGGGCAAGCGCGGGGGTCAATGTACGGACGTGCGGCGGTATACAAAGAATTGTTCACTATTTCCACCGCTTCTTTGTTTCGTAAAGAGGTGGTCTGACTGCTCCTTGGACGTATGGCTTACAACCTGGAAGCAGAGGATCGGACAAGCTAACGCGCAGTGCGCAGCGCATGATTCTCAGTGTGAATGGAACCATTTCCCTCGGCACTTTTAACAAGTTGTTCTCTTTTCTTAATACACCTCTGGTGTGGTTGCCATGCAGTACAGAAAAACAAAGAAAAGAACGAAAAAAAAAAAAAACGAAAAATATCGCGCGAATGGTGGTAACACAAATGATATTAACACGTAAGTGACAAGCACTCGGATGACGATTCAGAATCGCCTCCATCCCAACCGCAGCATTCTCTTTGGGATGTTTCTTCCCCCTGTCTTTAACCAAACAAATAAAGCGAAGAAAATGTGCAACAGAAGTAGTCAAGCCAGATTTGCAATCCACTTTTGCTCTTCCCTCACCGGCCCCTGGATACCACTAGGACGAAATGAAGGCCCGCCTTCTCCTTAATCCTAATTTTATGTGATGGAGGAAAATGCCGAAGAAATGGCGAAAAGGAAATAGCCAAGTGAGCAACTTAGGCCATCATGCACTCCACGCTCAAGGGGGCGAGAAGTGCACATGAGCGTGTTCATCATTCGGACGATTAACTGTTGAAAGGGTTAAAAGATTGTCCTCAGCTAGGCGTATGTCTTTGCCCGGTGTGTGCCAATTCGTGGAAATGAAATTTACGCAGGTGTCTTGTGCAGGGACTGTGCAGTTCGATACACGGGTAACCACTGGAAAATCAGGAGTAGAAGCAGAAACAGGAGCAGGAGTAGAAGTAGAGGCAGGAGTAGAAGCAGAGGCAGGAGTAGAAGCAGAAGCAAGAGTAGAAGCAGAAGCAGGAGCAAGAGCAGGCTTAAGTCAGGATACAGCTGATACCTCGAGAGAGGGCCAACCGGGAGCCTCACCAGATGGCGCATTTCCAGCAGAATTTTCCCAAATACACCAACGAGGAACTGGCGAAACTTCTAGCAATTCTGCTGATAGTTCTAGCCGAGATTCGAATAAAAATCTAGATGTCGGCAACGTCGAAGCAGGAAAAGGCAAGAGTCCCGTCTGAAGGCGCCAAAGAGGAGATCCAAGTAAGGTGACCCCTCCTGAAGGGCTACAAGGGGGTAGGTCACAAGGACGTGCAACACAAGCTTTCTCGTTCTCTTCGCCCCGTATCTATTCATTGCTGTAGATGCGCACAGTAGTAACATTTACCTTGGAACTGACTTGAGCGACCTAGAAGTCACAGATCAAATGGATAAAATGAAAAAAACGGAAAAAATAAATACGAAGAGGGAAAGACATTCAAATTTGATGCGCTCATTGGAGATGACCACTTGACCACTAAGTGAAAGGTGTAGGACTCGGCAGTTCAAACATCACCCCAAAGTAAAAAAGGCAAAAGGGGCGTGGTAAGAGTGAACGCGGTGGAAGAGGCAGGATAGGACCCTCTACCCAATGAAAACAAATTTGCAACAAAACATCATTTAGATCTGGTGCTTAAATTTTCCACGCCCTCGTTATTGGTCACCTCCAATGCTTCATTTCTGCGCCACTCCGAATGCCAACTTAATTTCGTCTTTTTCTTATACCCTCCCTCTTTTCATATGACAAAGTGTAGATGAGAAAGTATGTAATGAGAAACCTGAGTGGAGAATTCACCTCTGTGCAAGTACACACCATGATCCAGCCAAAGGGCTCCAATGTGTTTGAAAGAAAAAACTATGCCTTAAGTAAACGACATCCCTGCTTAGTCACACACAAAGGAGAAATAAACAAAGAAAAAAAAAAAAAAAAAAAACCTTCTCCTAATCCCCCCCACACACTCGTTAACCTTAACGTCCTTGTGTGGTTCACAAGTCCTCCCCTTTCCAACGAAGCAGTTTTTTTTGCTTTTTTTGTGGGGAAGTTACGAAATGTTAAGGCTGCATGTTTATCCGTAAGGGGGAAAGTCCCCAGAGAATAATTCCGTAATTGTGTGGCTCTGTTGGTACACTACGCGATACACTATAACCTTACAATTGTCAATTTTTTTTTCTTTCTTTTTTTTTTTTTTTTTTTCCCAACTTGACGGAAATGGTGATAAGAGAGTGAGCCTCTCATCGAGGGAGTGAATTCTTAAGGCGGCCCTCTGCGACGCTCATCTGGGCGTATTATCATCACTTTTGAGGCAGTTCTGAGCGAGACTTCCCTTTGCGTGTTTTTCCTGGCGCCCGCATCAATCACACATCGCTCATGCGTTTTTTTTTCTATGCAATTTCGCAATCACGAGGGGAGGAGCGCTAACGGGGAAAAGAAGCGGTGAAGTGGCATTAATTGTGTAATTTTTTTTCCCGCTCTTTTCCGTCCTTTCATGCTCTATCCTGTTTCTTTTTTTTTTTCTTTTCCCGTTAGCTCAAATTACCTGTCCCTTTAAAATACACAATTGTGCAATAGATCAACCCGTATGCGCGAGGGGAGAAAAAAGATGCCTGTAAAAACACGCCGCACCCCCCCTGGGGTGTGTGCAGATACTGTACGTAAGGATGGTTTTGTTTTCTCTTAGCCTTTCCGTTTTTTCCTGCCTCTCTCTCTTTCTTTCTCTCTTTTCTTCTCTCTGGTGCACATTCGAACAAGGCTCTAGATTGACTCCAAGGAACCGATGCGCGCGTGGCTAGCTGTGTATACAACGCTTGGGTGTATCGACACTAGCACACCTAAAACGGTGAATTGACTGGCATGCATACCTGTAAAAATGATATTTCGGCATGATGGAGGTGGGTCTGCATGAGGAAAATTATGTTTGAGCTTTTACAGAACTGATAGGAGACTCGCATACACGTTAATGAAAGCCCACTCTCCTAGGTAAATGTTAAAGCACCACCTAAAAACAAAAAAAAAAATTTTCTCCCTTTGTGTCGATCGTCGAAAGAAACGTTTTTCTTTAGAATGGTGACTTTATTAGAATAGATAAAAGAAGAAAATAAAGCAAAAAAAAAACAAAAAAAAAAATCACTAGCATAATCACTAGTATAATACTAGCATAATCACTAGTATAATACTAGCATAATCACTAGTATAATACTAGCATAATCACTAGCATAATCACTAGCATAATCACTTGCATAATCACTGGCATAATCGCTAAAATAATCACTAGCATAATCGCTAGAATAATCACTACCATAATCACTTGCATAATCACTGGCATAATCGCTAGAATAATCACTAGCTCAATCACTAGCAAAACTACTCAGAATAAAGTTTGCCACTTTGGATTGGCACAGGGAAATAAAGAAAAAGCAGTGATGAAATGGAATACGAATACGGAAAAAAAATAATAAGAAATAAATAAAAAAATAAATAAAAAAAAAAATAATAACATAAAAAAATAAATATAATAGCAATAGTAAACGAATTCGCAGCAAGGAGGGAGGAACAGAGAAGGCTTCACTAAAAAAAAAGGCCACACAAAAAAGGTTTAAAACAAATACTACACCACACGTGAGCAACTTGGGAATCGAGCAAAATGATAAAACTACCTGTGGCGCTCCTTCTCATTATAGGTACTTGAGGAGGGGAATGGGGGGAAGAGTCCAAAGCTATAACAAACATATTGGATGGGTGTCGCTGCATGTCACTGCATGTACATGTATTTCGACCGTATCGAAAGTTGTGTGGCCAAGAAATTTCTCCAAAATAAAAGTTCGATGTGTGACAAGTGCATGCCGTGGGTCACATAATCGTACGAAGAGGGGTGTATTCACGAATGAAACCTATGTGTGGCGAAGCAGCCATTTGGGGCTAGCCAACATGAAACCCCCTTTTTTGCCTACGTTCACCCTTTTTTTCATTTTTTTTTTTCCCATGCAGCCCTCTTGACTAGTACAAATGTCACCATATGCGAAACGAATAAAGTACACAATGTAACTCAGGAGGGTAACACAGGAACAAGTGGAGGCAGGAATAACTCCTCCCCTCCTTCGGAAGGCAAGCCCCCAAGTGATGGATCCAATAATGATGAGACAGCTTTTCCAACCAAAACTATATCGTTTAGTATTCCCCCCAATTTAGAAGGCGAGGGGTCTAAGAATGAAAGTGCGGGCAGTAAAGACCAAGTGGGAGCGACAACAGCTGGCTCTCCCCCATCGAGCAATAACACTACTGGAGGGAGCAGCACCTCCAGTGGAAAGAAAGAGGAGCACACAGTTATTCCTTTAGGTGGGGATTCACAGACGAAACCATCCGCCCCTGGAGTAACACCGAAAGGTCACCAAAGAGCAGTAGACATGTTTAGAGGAAATACAACCAAATGGATTGGCCCCCTTAAAGGCCCACAGCAAGTAGAATCAGCCTTATTAAAAAACCACAAGGGGGTGAAAGTTACAGGTTTGTGTGGGTCCTACTTTCGAGTGTACCTAGTACCACATATCCTAATCTATGCCTTAACAAAGAACTCCACTATCCAGATAGAGTCCCTCTTCGATGATAACACGAGGGTGGATTTTGAATACGCCGATGACGTCGTGAATAAGTGCGAGGAAGGGAAGAACTTCAAGCTGATTCTTTACCTGAAGGATAATGTCTTGACCATCAAGTGGAAGGTGCTTCCATCTTCAGCGACGAATGCCTCGGGTAACTTAGTCGGGGCAGCGGTGCCAAGGCGCATCAGGGGTGCTGTTCGTTGCGCAGCAGGCCATGCCTGTTTGAAGCACTTCCCCCCAAAGAGAGACAAATTGAACGCGCAATTTGGATGCTCCCTTTTTAAGATTGCTCGCTCGCGCACCGCGTTGGACTCTACACCTCTTGTGTGCCTCACGCAGGTGCATCAGTCTGATGAGCTTCCCTAATACAGCTGATCTTTAATTCTACCTACCTCCTTTGCAGCGGCCAGCACCAAGGCGGACGTGCGAAAGTTCAAAATCCCGCAGCTGGAGCGCCCGTTCACCTCGATACAGGTGTATACGGCGGACGTGAAGGCGGGGTTTATCGAGAGTAAAAACTACGCTCTGGAGGCGGACATTCCGGGTGAGTTCCCCGTGCGAGGAGAGGTGCCGTCATGAAACACGCACGATCGTGTCGTTTATACACACGATGCATTCACACCGCGTATTCACGCCCTTTATCCACGCCGCTTATCCAGACAAGTGCAACTCCATCGCAACGGAGTGCTTCCTAAACGGAAACGTGAACATCGACCAGTGCTACCAGTGCACGCTTCTGATTCAGGGCGTCGACTCGCCCTCCAAGGAGTGCTTCAATTACATATCGAAGGACTTGCAAGAGAAGCACGAAAATGCAAAAGTGAAGGGGCAAGAAGATATGAATCCGAAGGAATATGAGATCACCGAATCCATCGATATCATCCTAAAAAACATCTACAAAGTGGACACGGTGAATAAGAAGAAGGTGCTCATCACTATGGATGACTTTGATGACGTGTTGAAGGCAGAACTGCTAAACTACTGCAAACTTCTAAAAGAAATGGACGATAAGGGCACTCTAGAAAATTACGATCTGGGAAACGAGGTCGACATATTTAACAATATGATTAGACTTCTCAGTATGCACCCCAAAGAGAACATTATCACGCTGCAGGATAAGCTACGCAACACGGCAATATGTTTGAAGAATGTAGATGAATGGGTTAAAAACAAACGAGGATTATTGCTTCCGGAGGGGAAGGAAATGTCTTCGCTTGAGGGGAGCCCTACCGAAGTGGACGAAGACGAGGAACAAGAACTTCTAGGGCAAAATAAACTGCTCGATCAGGAAATGTACAGGAAGGATGAAGACGGCACCGTCGATTTGGTCAAAGCGGGAAAGGAGTTAAAATTAAGGTCTCCTTACTTTAAAAATAGCAAGTACTGCAATTACGAGTATTGTGACAGATGGAAGGATAAAACGAGTTGCATTTCGAGCATCGAAGTGGAAGATCAAGGAAACTGTGGTCTCTGCTGGGTGTTCGCATCTAAGTTGCACTTAGAGACAATCAGGTGCATGAGAGGGTACGGTCACTTCCGTATCTCCGCTTTGTACGTGGCAAACTGCTCCAAAAGGAACCGAAAACAGATCTGTGACGTGGGATCCAATCCTATAGAGTTCCTCCAGATTGTACAGGACACAGGATTCTTGCCCCTTGAATCCGATCACCCTTATCTCCACAAAAACGCCGAAAATGAGTGTCCCCAGCCAAAGGAAAATTGGATCAACCTATGGGGCAATAGCAAGTTACTGTTTCATAAGATTTATGGACATTTAATGAGCTACAAAGGATTCATCTCTTATCGGAGCCCGCACTTTAGGGACAACATGCACGTATTCATAGACTTGATAAAACGGGAGGTGCAAAATAAAGGCTCCGTCATTATTTACATCAAAACGAAGGACGTAATTGGATACGATTTTAACGGCAGAGGGGTACACAACATCTGTGGTGATAAAATTCCTGACCATGCAGCTAACATCGTGGGGTATGGTAACTACATCAATACCGATGGGGTGAAGAGGTCCTACTGGATTATTAGAAACAGCTGGGGGTACTACTGGGGCAATGAAGGAACCTTCAAAGTGGACATGCTTGGACCAGAGGGATGCAGATATAATTTTATTCACACCGCTATCGTTTTTAAGTTGAACTTGGGTCCTATTGATATCCCAAATAAGGACGTCGACCTGAACCATACCTACTTCCCCAAACATAGCTCGGACTTCTTTCACAGTCTCTACTTTAACAACTACGATGATGAGGCGGATGACGAGGAGAAGAACGTCTTCCAGAAGGACCGAAGCAACGACCACGGTGGTAGTGGTAATCATAGTGGTAGTGAAAAGGCTAATGGCAAGCGTAGTGGCGGTAAGGGTACTGATAGTAGCAGTGGTAATGGCTCCAGGTGGAGGAAGGGCCAAAATAAGAAGAAAATTTCAGGCCAAGATGCAGGCGCCGCCACCGAGGGTATCTCTTCGGGGGAAGCTTCTGGCGTGCATTCCAGTGTACCTCCCCAAAGTGCCAAGCCCAGCTCATCCGCAGAGAAAAAAATTCAAATACTACACGTGCTGAAGCATATTGATAAGTCCAAAGTTGTGCGAGGATTGGTAAAGTATGATAATATAAGCGACACGCAAAATGACCACAGCTGCGCAAGGGCTCATTCGAAGAACCCAGACAAGATGGACGAATGCAAAGTCTTCTGTGAGGAAAACTGGAACAGCTGCAAGAACCACTACTCTCCTGGGTATTGCCTAACCAAGTTGTACAGCGGCGGCAACTGCTACTTCTGCTACGTGTGAGGTGGGCGCGCAGAAACGCAGCTCCATTCAGAAACGCAGCTCCAAATTGTTAACCCGCCCCTTTTTCGCGGCTTCCCATTTTCCAACTTTTTTTTTTTTAGTAAACATAAGCATATGTTTAATTAGCGGTCCTTCGAAAGGATCCTTGTGATTTTTTTTTCGCACTTTAAAATAATTTCCCTCAGTGGCGTTTCATTTTGATAAACATAGAGACAACGTAGTTATGTGCACGCTTACGTGCTAGTAAGCTTAAATTGATTTCACCCTTTTTGAGCGTTTGGTCGCGTGTTGGGCTTCCTCTCGGGTGGCGTTTCGGCCCACTCACACTTCAGTCGTCTGTGCTTCAGAGGGGTAGGAAAACAAAAGGCCCTTGTGATGAAACATAAAATGAGTTATTTTTTTATATCCTTCCAGGTGGTCGACGTAGATGAATCATCTGATGTGTGCCGCTTCCCCTGCGAAGGGGAGATAGCACACATCGGAAAAGTCAAACAAAATACAGGGCCCGAATTTGTCGTGGACTCGCTCCGTAGTGTGCAGATGTGCGCGTTACACATTGCAAGGGAGGTGAAGACAGGGGTGATGCGGGGGCCATACCTCTCTATTCTGGTGAACAGGACATCCTCGATCGGTCCTGCTTTAATATAATGGTGCAAACTATTTTCCCCGTTTGGGGAGGGAGCCGACCAAAAGTAGCATCTTTCTTGCCTAATTGGAGCGTCACCACCGAGGGGTAAACTCGTGAGACCTCTAGTGCACCGGGGGAAAAAAAAAGTTACAGATCATTTCTTTTGGCGAACCGAATTTGAACAGGCAACAGTACACACGGCAGGGAAAAAAGAAAAAATAACAATAACAGCCAAGTAGGAGTAACAAAAGTGGAAAATTACTGCTCCCATATTGCAACCAGACTGGGACGAACGAGCCAAGAGGTGCTCATATACCCCCCTTTGGCTCCCGAGCAACAACACACTCCCGTTATGTTTCGTACAAGTTAAGCCAAGTGTGTAACTGCAGATCTAAGCTGCGCATGCATTTCTGTGTATGTGAAGTCTCAACGAATCTAGTTTGAAGGCAGTAGGACGAAATGGTTTCTTGCCTTTGCTTCCTTTTAACAATATGTAATGGGAGAAAAAAAAAGGAATTAAACCATTCCACAAAATGAGACAAGCGATGACTTTACCAACATGAGCGTCTGACCCTGCTCCGCGACGTTGCGGACGCCACACTAGGCACTCAAATGGCTGCGTTGTAAATTTATCCTCCCCCCCCACAGACACTGTTACTATGTACAAACATGCGCACATGTGGACATACACTCATGTATATTTTTTTTTCTTCTTCTCTTTTTTTTTTGGATTAATTCCTCCCAGATGTGGCCCTGGTCACGCACATAACGCGTTGTGCAGGTGATAGGCCGCCTGAGACCGGTGTGGGTCAACAACTCCACAGATGTAGTCCCCCCCAAGGAGGGGGTCCAGAGGAAAGTGCTGGAGACCCATCGGTGTCAGTCCCTGGAAAGGCCTCCCAAGATGCAGACCCGTCTTCCACTTCGAGTGCGAACGGGATCGATTCCTCTTCCTCAGTTGGAGGGACAGCTCTGCCTCCCAGAAGTACAGACGTAGAATCCAATGACATCGAGTCCAAATCTGCAGGTGCAGCATCTATACAGGCCGCGGATCCCTCGGAGCAAGACACACAGATAACATCAGCCCTGTTGAAACATTCTAATGGAATCAAAATTACGGGTTCGTGTAAGGCACACTTTAGAGTGTTCCTCTCGCCACATCTATGGATTTATGTGGTCGCGGCTGAGAACAAAATACAGCTGAGACCAAACTTTGGACCGATAACATCAGTAGACCTAGGGAATCTGATGAATGACTGCAAAAAGGGAGCGAACAGCAACTTCAAGCTCGTCGTGCATACCAGAGATGATATCTTGACGCTCAAGTGGAAGGTGACTGGGGAAGTTCCAGGTTAGGAGGCAAAAAAAAAAAAAAAAAGGAAAAGCAGCGAGGCGGATAAAATGCAGGCAGATTCACTTCCCTTTTTTTACAACACATGGTGCACTGAGCGGGGAAGTTATCAACCTATTTCTGCTCCGGAGTTGCTTTCTCATCTTATGTGTTCACTTTTGCTCCCTTTATAGGCAACAAGGAAGATGTGAAGAAGTACAAACTTCCTTCCCTGGACAGGCCCTTCACTTCCGTTCAGGTGCATTCGGTCAACACCAAGTCGAAGATAATCGAGAGCAAAATTTACGATATCGATAGAAGCATTCCAGGTGAGTCCCCAGGCAAGTAGGGGGGATATAAGGGGAAGACGCGAGGCTAGGAGTGGAGATGATCCTCTGTTATTACAACGGATGAACAGACACGTAGGAATTCCCTTGCATGCATCTCATCCCATCGCTCCACTGACTCATCCAATGAAAAACTCTCCTCACTCGCCTCTTCCCCGCAGCCCAATGCAGCGCGGTAGCGACGAAGTGCTTCCTCAGCGGCAGCCTGGACATCGAACACTGCTACCACTGCACCCTGTTGGAGAACAATATGGCCAAAGACAGCGACTGCTTCAAATACCTCTCGAGGGAAGCAAAAGAGTTTATCGAAAAAGATACGCCCATTAAAGCTCAAGAGGAAGAGGCACAATCTGCGGATCATAAACTGATCGAATCCATAGATGTAATTCTCAAGGCAGTGTATAAGTCAGACTCGGATGACGAAAGGAAGGAACTCATCACCCTGGAGGAAGTGGACGCAAATTTGAAGAAAGAGTTAGCCAACTATTGTACACTCATGAAGGAGGTAGACACAAGTGGCACTCTTAACAATCACAAATTGGCGAACGAAGTAGAAACGTATAAAAATCTGACCAGACTGTTACGAATGCATAAAGAAGAAAATGTCGTCAGACTTCAGGACAAATTGAGAAACGCAGCAATATGTATGAAGCATATAGACAAGTGGATTCTTAATAAGAGGGGGTTAACACTACCGGATTCTATCCCCTACAGTGAAGACAATACAGAGGAGTATCTACCGGAAGAGCTGCTCCAAGAAATAGAGAAGGAAAAAAGTCTCTACGATGATGATGTATTCGATAAAGATACAAATGGAATCATAAATTTGAATAAGATCCCCAGCGAAATGAAATTTAAATCTCCGTATTTTAAAAAAAGTAAATATTGTAACAATGAATACTGTGACAGATGGAAGGATAAAACGAGTTGTATTTCAAACATTGAGGTAGAGGAACAAGGGGATTGTGGACTCTGTTGGATTTTTGCCTCTAAGTTGCATGTAGAAACGATAAGGTGCATGAGAGGGTATGGGCACTTCCGCAGCTCCGCTCTGTTTGTGGCCAACTGCTCCAAGAGAAAGTCAGAAGATATCTGTACAGTTGGATCCAACCCGACGGAATTTCTTCAAATTGTTAAAGAAACAGGATTTTTACCACTGGAGTCGGATCTCCCCTACAGATGGAGCGACGCTGGGAACTCCTGCCCCTATAATAGAAGAAGCATGTGGACCAACCTATGGGGTAATACCAGGCTGTTGTATCATGGGAGACCTCATCACTTGATCCAAACACATGGATACGTGGCCTACGAAAGCAGGCGTTTTCAATACAATATAGATCTCTTCATTGATATCCTCAAGAGGGAGATTCAAAACAAAGGATCCGCCATTATCTATATAAAAACAGAGAACGTTATCGATTACGACTTGAATGGCCGATTTGTGCACAGCATATGTGGACATAATGATGCAGATCATGCTGCTAACATTATTGGCTACGGAAATTACATTGGTCTTGGTGGTAAGAAGAGATCATATTGGATTGTTAGGAATAGCTGGGGATACTACTGGGGCGATGAAGGCAACTTCAAGGTAGACATGTATGGCCCGGAGGGATGCAAACGGAACTTCATTCACACGGCAGTTGTTTTTAAGATAGATTTGGGCATTGTGGAAATCCCAAAGAAGGAAGACCGGTCCTTTTATAGATATTTTGTCCAGTACGTCCCGAACTTCTTGCACAGCCTCTTCTATGTCAGTTACGACAAAGTTGTTAATGGGAAGAAGCATTCTGAGAACCGAAAGGGGGGAATAGCAGGGGGGGGTGGCCTAGTCGACGGTAAGGCGGGACAAGCAGGGGGGGGTTCCTTAGTCGACCTTCAAGCGGTAGTCACAGGACAGACAGAGACGCCCACGTCGGAGGCCGCTAAAAACGGGGCTCAACCCGGAGCAGAGGGTAGCGAAGCAAATGCCGCGATGGGCGGCAAGGCAGGAATTGTAGCCCCGATGGGGTCACAAATGAGTCCAGTTTCGCCACAAACGAGTGTAATTTCGCCGCAAATCGGTGCAGTTGCTCCACAAATCGGTGCAGTTGCCTCCCCCCCAAACGTGACTCCGCTGAACGTAACGGCTGGGGAGGGCCAGCGTGTGGGGGGTGTAGTCTCCCTCACCCCCGTGGACAACTCGGGCGAGAAGAAAATTCCAGTCATGCACATTTTAAAATATGTGAAGGAGACCAAAATGACGAAGGCCACCGTGAGGTACGACAGTTTGAGAGAAATAGAAGGCTCGCACAGCTGCTCCAGGAGCTACGCAAGGGACGGGAAGGGGCGCGAGGAGTGCACCCAATTCTGCCTCAAGAACTGGAACTCCTGCAGGGGGCACTACTCCCCTGGTTACTGCTTAACTAAGATGTACACGGGGAGTAACTGCATATTTTGCAGCGTGTAGATCCGTTCAAAAGTAACCGCGATGGTCGCGGCGGTTGCGACGGTTGAGGTTTTCTGGAGAGGGCGCCACTACTGGGTGTTGCGGAACATCAGGGGGTAGCCTTCCCAAGCGCAACCGCGTCTACGCAGTTCGCCCTTTCGCGTCGCTCCATTTTGATGTTAATTTTCGGCTCATGTGGTTGCGTGGGGGCCTAACGGCATTTTCCTTTTTTTTAATATCCCCATTTGGGCAAATATACCAACGAGGAGCCACTCCAGTGTGTACTTTTCCGCACCATGCGCTACACATGTTAGAAGTTTTTTTTTTTTTTCTTTTTTTTTCCCACTTAAGAGGACTACCAAATGAAGAGTTATAAAATTGTGAACGCAGCTGTGTTGCCCTTTATTTTTCCCAATTGGGAAAAGATGCACGCATGGGGAAGGGTTTATCGGAGGTGAAAATTACGCACAGTTGGCTGTAACTTACGCTTTCCCCTTTCCAAGCTAATCGACTGAACGTGCGTCAGGGGATGGGGCTTATACCCGGCGTGGGTATTTACAAGTGTAAACAGGCATGGACGCCGTTATGTCAGCATCATCATGCGCATATCCCCCTCTGGGTTTATCTTAGCATCTAACTTTTGTGTGCACATCTGGAATAGATACGTGCCGTCCCGTTATTTGTGTGTATATGAATGGCGAGTGGGGTACCAAATGAACACTGCGGGAAGATCCTCAATGGAAAGGTTACCTATTACGCAAGGGTTTATGTGTAGATCCTCCTGCTTGGGAATTTATTTATTTGTTTATTTATTTGTTCATTTATTTTTTTATTTTTTTTTTTTTTTCCAAGTGTGAGTCTCGGAGTAAGCAGAATTAATCTTATGAGTGTGGGTCTTGTCTTGGCGTTCAAGACCTTCCCACTTCTTAATTTTTCGGATGCCCATTTCTGCAAAATTGAAATTGTAAGGTTAACAGGTTTTGAAATTATTTCCCTCAACAAGGCAAGAACTTGCAAGGAATGATGTTTCTTCTGGGTGTTCTGACGTAACTGTGAGCTGCATGCAGTTGGGAAGAAGAAAAAAAAAAAAATTGGCTAAGAATGGCTAGAATGGCCAAAAATGACTAAAAATGGCTCAGAAATGGTCCAGGGAGCTGATCGAATCAAACGCGTTGCACGCAGTGCATGGCTTCACCCTGATGAAAATTCTGGACCAACCGTTAACCCATGAGGATGATTCATTTTCACACCAAGACAGTTATTTCCAATAGGGGGCTGACATTATATATATAAGAAACAGAAAAAGAAAGAAAAAAAGTTTCTGCTCGAGGCAAATTCCTCATCACATGAACTTTGTGTGTAACACATGTTCGCATGTCTACATCATCATGTTAACTGCAGTAACACCTCCTGATTCCGTTGGTTGCACGCGTACGATTGATAGGGGATCTTCCTTCTCATTCACCGTTTCACACATGTGCCGTCCAGGCTGCAGTATTGTGTAACATAGGTCCACCTTTTCATGTGAGCATGGCGGAAAACGTACAGCTGAGTGGCGATTGCACATGCGTGTAGGAATGCCCATGTGTACGTGTCCGTCTTGCCCGATTTACTTCCTGCAACGAGGGCCTCCTTGAAGGAAGCACAGACGGGGATCATCCTCGCGGCTGTAAAGAAAGCCGAACCCCCGCACGGTCGGAAGCTAGTCTGTTGCGTTGGTTGCATTAGCTGCGTCGATTAAGTTGGCTTCGCTGATTAAGTTTACTACGCTAAATTCGCTGCTTCCATTACGTCCGTTGTGTTAATTAAGTTCGTTTTATTCGCTGCGTCTGTTCTATCGTTTTCGTTTCTTTCCTTTTTAAAACATACCTCTTTGCAAACTGGTAACATCTTTACCACTTGTTCTAAGTCTGACTGACGCCCGTGTGACACTTCACCCGGACGAAAACCTTCTGCTTCTCGTGACCCCCTCGCCAGTTAACACAAAGAATCATCACCCCTCATCAAAGGAGAAGCTCAACCGGACAAGTCCGATCATTACACAAAAAAGCTTTACCCGTTATTCACCCCTGTCTACGATGAAGATAAATCAGATTGCGCAGTGCGTCCTGTTCGCTCTGGTTGCCCATTTGGTGAAGCGAGGTAGGGTCCCCACAGTCTGTAGGCGTTTTTACGTCCTTCGCTGAGCCTCGTCCTTCATCATGCGGCCACGCACGCACAGGGACGAATGGACAGAGGGACAGACGAATACACGTACATACACATACGTCTGTGTGGATTCTTCCAGTTTGCTACTTCCCCCTTCTGTTTGATGAGCGCCATTTGTTCACGCCACCATTGCTGTGCTTTCTGTTGTGCATGACTCCTGCGTTCACTAATGAACCCCCTCCATGCGCACAACCTCAAACTGCCAATTTCGAACCGAAAACATGTTGCCCTTTCCCCCCCTCCCCGGCTTCTTCTCTCACCAACGCAGTCAAGTCCAACATTGTAGTCAACTGCTTCGGTATAGAGCACTGCAAAATATGTCACATAGCCTTACGAAATTGCTTCTTATCAGGGACTAACAACTTGGCCAAGTGTGTCGAATGCGAGGAGAAGTACTACAAAATTCCGCCTTGCATTCACCATACAGGTTCGCAAGGGGAATGATCTTCTCCATAGCAGCGATCTGCACCTGCGCAGCCATCATCCCGTCAGTATACCATCCTACAGGTGTACCCCTCTTTTGAATCCCCCCCCCAGAAACCACACGCACCTTTTTCGCCTTCTTACCCTTTTAGAAAATTTTCTGCAGACCTCCAGGGAGAAGGGAACCTTCGTGGAGATGAAGGACCATGTAAGGGATCATCATTATGAAAAAATTACGAGCGAAAGAGTTGCATTAGGAATGACCATTCTTAGTCCAAACCTGGGCACGTGGCAAGGTGGAAATGAAGTCATGCGTGTCTATTCACACCGGTCACTTCATATCGGTCGCTTCACATCGTTCGCCCCTCATAGGACTACCTAACGGAGGACAAAGTGGATGATCTTATTTCTGAGGTGGTAAAGTTATCACTCGAGAGGCAGAGAAATGCAGTGCCTGGAACAGAAGACACGAATGAAGACTTCCACAAGAAAATCATGCAGCTCTGTTTGTACTCTAATTTTAACGACAACTATGAAAATGCAAAGAAGCACACCCAGGCAAGTGCCGAAGAGGTGGAAAAATCCATCCACAGAATTGTTAGTATGTACATACATGAGAGTAATAACATGGAACATATTACTAACTCACTGAAGAACCCAGCCTTGTGTTTGAAAGATCCAGGAGAGTGGACAAAGGATAGGGCGGGGTACAAGGACAACGATGTTCCTTCGGTGGGCATCATACCCGAGAGAAAGCTCTTCAAGCCGTACCAGGTGAAGTCGCTGATGAGCTCCCTTTACAGTTACAAATCGAACTGCAACCGGCAATTCTGCGACAGGTTCTCGGACCCCAACGAGTGTGAGAATAGCATCCGGGTCCTCAACCAGGGCACATGGTAAGTCGGGACGAGTAGAGACACGATGCTGCGTGGGTGGCTAACGAGGCTAACTCGACGGACGTTTCCTTCCGCGTAGGTGGCTAACCCAATGCACGCTTCTTCCTTACTCTCCATTCTTCTCCCCCCCTCAGCGGAAACTGCTGGGCCTTCGCCTCCTCGCAAGTGTTCTCCGCCTACCGGTGCAGGAATGGCCTGGGATTCGCAGAGCCCTCCGTCAAGTACGTGACGCTCTGCAAAAACAGGCACTCGGATGACTACCAAGAAAATGCCTTCCACCACTACAATGATAACATTTGTAAGGAAGGGGGACATCTCTCATACTACTTAGAAACCTTAGAAAAGACGAGGATGCTACCTACCTCCTACGATGTCCCATACAACGAGCCATTAAAAGGAGCAGAATGTCCACAGTCCAGTGTGGACTGGGCAAACATGTGGGATCAGGTGAACCCACTAACCAAAATTATGAATGGGTACATCTATCGTGGGTATTTCAAAATTTCCTTTCATGACTATTCTAGGAGTGGAAAGATGGAAGAGCTTATTAGCTTAATTAAGGACTACATAATAGAGCAGGGAGCCTTGTTTGTCTCCATGGAGGTGAACGAAAAGTTAAGTTTCGATCATGATGGAGTGGAGGTGATGATGAATTGCGAATACAATCAATCCCCTGATCATGCCTTGGCCTTAATAGGGTATGGTGATTATTTGAAGCCTTCTGGAGAAAAAAGTTCATACTGGTTAATTAGAAACAGTTGGGGTTCTCACTGGGGTGACAAAGGAAATTTTAAAGTCGACATGTATGGTCCTGCCAATTGTAACGGTGCTGTGTTATGCAATGCCTTCCCTTTAATGCTCCGGATGAATGGGGAGAAAATTACGAAACCGCTTCCTGACGATTTAGCCTCTACGGATAACAGAACCAGGTATAACCACTCCGACTTCACTAGGGACAGAAACAGGAGATCATCCAGGACATACAAATCGGATAAAGAACGAGACCAACCCAATGGTTGGGCAGATAACAATCCGTTTGATAACCCTAAAAATAATGAGATCGATGATGGCGATAAGAGGGATTGGCCACCTTTTAATCCATTCGAGAGGGACTACGTCGACCCATACAAGGATAATGACAACGACGCGGAACGCAGCGACTCGGAACGCGGAGACTCGGAACGCGGCGACGCGGGCATGAATGACAACCGCGGAAACATGATCCGCCGCAAGGTTTTCAAGACCACTCTCCTCCTAAAAATTGGGGATACACACTTCAGGCGGGACATCTACATGAGAAGTAGGCCTCCTGAGGGGAGAAGCGGTGCGGCGGTGGAGTGGTGGAACGGTGACACCGTGGAGCCGTGGCGTACTTCACCACTTGGCCGACCCCCCTCACCGATTCGTCGCCCTCCGCAAGACTTCTCACCACTTCTTACACCTCACCACTTCCTACACCTTACCACTTCCTACACCTCACCACTTCATACCCCTCACCACTTCTTACACCTATGCAGGAAAAGACGAGTACAAGGAGAGGAACTCCTGCCTGCGGACGTACTCCCTGAATTCTCTAGCGGACGTCTCCTGTAGGAACAACTGCCATAAGTATATTGACCTGTGCAGCCATTATACGTCCGTTGGGAGGTGCCTTATGCGCTATGCTGAGAACTATAAATGCGTTTACTGTGGCATGGAATAAGGGAGGCATATTCTCCCCAACTGTGTGTGTGGCAGCGCGGTTTGGATAGCACCAAAATGGGAAAAATAAAAAAATAAAGAAAAAAAAAAGAAAAAAATGCCACAAAATGATCACTTTGTTCGACGTTCCAAATAATCAGTTCAATTTTACTTTTCGTTGCTTCGCGTTTCCCCCCTTGGCGTATCCGTGACACCTTCATTTCCTTAGCCCGCTGCCCAACATGTAAGCCCAAGATGGCCCTCCGTCCGAAAACTTTTTCCTTGGCCATTACCGCGGCACCCATTTTTGCTCCACTGCACACGCGTAACGATTTTCCACATTTTTTTCTACACCCCGTGACGCACTTCACACCCACAACTAACATTATGGCGCGCTGTCGTGGGGAATCTCCCAGTGCTGTTGTTTAATAGACTCATGGTGTGAATACCGCACGGGTTTTTTTTTTATGTTATTTTTTATGTCACTTTTTTTTGTTATCTCTTATGTCATTTTTTATGTTATTTTTTTTCACGCGCTGTTTTTGCTTATCTTAGAGGTGGCCGCTATATTTTCATTTCGACTTAGGTTACCTCGTCGCAATCCACTCATTGGGCTCAATCTCATTTGATTTGTGGAATTCCACCTCCTCCGCCCCTGGGGGTGACCAACCGTTCTTCGCTAACGGGCGTACAACGTACATGGGCGTAATTGTCCAGCAACACACCTTTCCGGGGGGATGTACAAAAAGGGTTGAAAAGAAAGGTTGGGAAAAAAAGGAAAAGAATACACGTCTGCACGTTGGCACCTTTGTGGCGTTATTGATCCACTTGATAAGATTTCCACTCAGTTTGGTTTAACGAATGGGGAAAAAAGTGGAGAAAGAATTAAAGCGTTTTCTTATGCAGGCGGTTATCTTTAGTGAAGCAGGGGTGCGGCATTTTCCCGCTTCCCCCCCGTTTTTCGCCGCTTTTTTTGGCCATCTGTTTTGAAGCAACGACATGCGTGTAGGGCGCGATTTTTCTTCCCCCGATTTTTGCGCGAGGGAAAAATTGCCCAGGGAAATTATCACAGCATAGTGGCCGCTTGGGGAAACATCCGGAATATCCGAAAAATTCGAAACATCTTCCCCTGCCGCTGCCCCTGCCACCGCCACTATCACTGCCACACTGCCCTTCTTTAACTGCAAATGTGCTGCGCGCCTCTTCGAATTTTTTCCCTCTCCCCCTGTGAATTTGAAAAAGTTGTTACTCGCACGATGTATGGTATGTGCGCATGTGTACTTACCGATGTAATGTCGTGTACCATGCCTTTTCTCGGGAAGGTTCGCAGGTTAACCCCTTTTGCGAAGTTCCCTTCCTCCGTAGGCGCGGGCACATCACGTACGCCTCGAGCGACCGACTGATGCGGTGAGGATAAACATAGGGTTGGCACCACATTTTATCACATTTTAATGGGACCATTTTTTTTTTTTTTATTTTCCTCCTCGTTTGTTAAAACGGTCTTCGCTGCTTCCCCTTGCGAGATACCCCAATCGAAGTCATATCAGCGTTACATCTCAGTCGGACAAGAAGCAAAGAAGTTTATCAACGCCCCCCTTTGTAGAGCAATAAATGGAAGAGGGCTAATGGACACTGCTGAGGGTTATCTACCCACATACACGTGCGTCTGTCCCGACTTGTGCAAGCCCAAACAGGTTGTCCAATCCACTTGAAGGGGAAAATGTTCCACTTGTTAAAGGCAAACCTGGCGCCGAAATCTCGGAGCGCCCTCATTAAGAAGATGGCCTATGGCTCAACCCCCAAAGGTGAAAGTACCGAATCGAATACGACCAATCAAATTATCCAGCTCACCAGTGACGCAATCAACAAAATGAAACAAATCAATTTGAAGTATAAAAACTCAAAAGCGTTGAAGGTATCCGTAGAAGCTGGGGGATGCTCAGGCTTCCAATATTCCTTTTCTCTAATCGATAAAACAAACATACAGGAGAAGGAGTTAGTCGTTTATAATAGAGAGTGCCTCGTAGTCATTGACAAAGGGGCGGCGGAAATGCTGAGGAACTCCAAAATAGACTACACCAATAATCTCATTGCAAAGAAGTTCGTCCTCGAGAACATTCCGAACCTCTCATCCAAGTGTTCCTGTGGCAACTCGTTTGATGTCAAGCTTCTTTAAGTGGCCCATGGGGTTAGCAGGCAAACGGAGGCTGCCATTGGAAGGCCACCATTCGAAGGCCACCGTTCGAACGTCGCTGCTAAGACCACGGAAGAATGATTGCCGCATGCCCAGGTGAAGACAGCTCGAAGGGACATAACCCTCTCGTCAATTTTGTCCAACCGTTTAACGTGTCAAATGTTCTAATAAAGGAAACGCAATGAGAGGAAATATTTCCTCCCCATTATAGACCTCCGCAATGATTTTTTTTTTGTGAAGAAGCAAGAAGTGTGCAGTGCGAAGTGGACAGTCATCAACAAATAATGAATGACGAAGGACGAATTCGGGGGGACTTCCCTACGCAGAGTGGCCACGTCTAATGGCTTGTTTGATGCAGGGTGCCTTCTCTCCGAGGAGCCACCTCGAACTTCAAATAAAAGCAGAGGCCAATCGGATGCTCATCTCTCATATGTGCACAAAAAA